CTCACTGAGGCAAGAGGAGAGGAAAGAGGGAACGAAGAAACATAAAAAGAATGAGTTTAACGTTTTGTAGAGGTTGCGTGAGGACAAAGGACAATACAACCAGTGAAGGAAAGGCACCAAAGCTGTCCTGTTAAAGCCAGGGGCATCCATACAGAAAGCAGCCTGGTGCATAGTGTTCTCCGAAGGCACACCTGTGAAGTTAACACTGGGTAGAAAATAAAGAGGGCAGTGGCTATGTACAGCCTGTTGCTCCAGTAGGTAATTATAGTAAGGAAAATGGAAGCCCGGTTTCTCCTTGTTGAAAAAGAAAGCACATACATGGAAGAAGAAAACTAGAAAACCTTTTCCGGTAGGCTAGTAATAGCGGTATCAATCTCTATTTGTAGAAATATGAGTATGTTCATACTCTGTCCCTTGAGAGGATTTGTGAACAATGAATTCATAAAACAATGAGCCCGGAGTTTGGCTTCTAAATACAATTCTCTTTTTCTTAGCAAAATAGTTGACTCCAAGACTGAAGGAGAAAAAAAAAATTGCAAGATGAACTTGGAGCCTTAATTGTGTGTCAGATACAAGAATTTAAGAAAACCTGCCGGGCATGGGGGCACACGACTTTAATCCCAGCATTCAGAAGGCAGAGGCAGTCAGATCTCTGTGAGTTTGAGGCCAGCCTGGTCTACGGAGCGAGTTTCCAGGATAGCCAGGGCTGCATAGAGAAACCCTGTCTTGAAAAAGAAAAAAACAAAAGGCGAAAACTAATAAAGCAAGTCAAAAGGCTATAGGCCAACTTGCATTTCTTAGACTGAATTGGGACTAAATGAACTTCATGATTATTGTGTGTGAGAGAGAATGCAGACATGCTATAGGACATGCTATAGGACAGCGCACGCGCACTGTGGAAGACAACTTACAGAGTCACTTCTCTCCTTCCACCGGTCCGTCTGGAGGTGGGCAGACTCCGGTCCTCAGGCGGGCATGGCAAGCACTTCTACCTGCTGAACCGGCTCACTGGCCCAGAGCTTCATTTTGTTGTTGTTGTTAATGATCGCATATTATAGCCCAGCATACAGCATAGGAAATCACACAGGTATAAAATAGATAAATTGAAAGTTCCACAAGGATTGTAACATACATACTTTCAAGTAAATCCCCACAGAGCTCTTAGTAATTATAAAGGAAGGGCTAGGAGAGTGGCTTAAAGGTAGAGCACTTGACTAGCCTGTCTAAGACCTTAGGTTACACCACCAGAACCACAGCAACTAACGTGTAGCAAAGAAAACTAGGTAACTTTATGATGCTGAGAAGCTCAGTAGACAGCACCTGAGACATCATCTTAGTCATCTAATCAAGTGCCACCAACAGTGTGACAAATGGACCTTCCACTGCACTTAATAGAAGTCACTAAGAAGAGCTTTATTTATATTCAAATATATGAGCCTGTGAGGACCATTCTCATCCAAACCACACATGATTTTCCCATCTCTCTGGCCCCGTGGCTCAGTGTGTGAGAGTTCTTGCTGCCAAGCCTAACTAACGAGGCTCCACCCGAGTTCACACTGTAAGGAGAGAATGGCTCTGTCCTCACACCTCCACCACACCTGTGCCCACACACATATACATAAGATCAATAAACAAATACATTTTTTTAAAAAAGAGCTTTATTTAGTAAAGCCCTGTACTCATGTTTGGTCTACCTGGTTGAATCTGTAGTTTGGAAAGGAAGAGTTTTAAAGAGCACGTGAAAACGATCAGGCTAAGTACACTATGAGGATAAAAATTTTTTAAAGGGGGTGGGGTAAAGAGGCTGTGCACACAAATGTTCAATGCTGAGGGAAAAGGAGATGCAGGGTGAAACTCTGGATGATGCCAACATTTTAGTGGCAGCCTCCAGACATAGCAATTACGTACATGGGTTTGGATTCTGCACCCTACTATCTCTATGACAACTTATGCTCGAGTTTTAGGTTTTTTTTTTTTTTCCATTTTAATGAGAATGATAAGAATATCTGCCTCAGCTCAGGGTTCATTAAATGAGATAACCAACTGCTGAGTACAGCTTAGCACATAATAAGCCATATAGCTGTTAACTGTAATTATCCATAATTGTTTGGTTATTAATAGTATTAGAGAGGACTAAGGAGCAGCTAGAAAATTATCCCAAATTAGAGTTTGAAAGAATTTTTTAAAATATGGACTGGTAAGATGGCTCAGTGGTAGAGGTGCTTGTCATTAAGCCTGACAACCTTGAGTTCTGTCCCCAAGACCTACGTGGTGGAAGGAGAACCCACTCCTGCAAGTTGTCCTCTGACCTGTACACACACACACACACACACACACACACACACACACACACACACACACTTTTTAAAAAGAATTAAGAAAAATACCTTGGAGAGAGACACCTGCCTCCATACAGGTGTAAGCTGACAAATTATGCTGGGGCCTCCTCTGTCTAGTTTGTGGGTGCGACAGTACTGGCAGTAGATCTCTTGAGTTTTTTGTGCATGTGTTTAGTGCTCCACAAAACCTCATTGCTCTGATAAGGCATGTTAGCTCCACCGTAGCAATTCTGTTTGTATTACTACTGGCACTTTTCCGTCTCTCTAACCGTGTCAGCCAGGTTCTTGGGGAAAAACATGCTTTGGACTTCTGCTTTAAGCTGTTGTCATGCGTTAATTATAGCGATTTGTTGAGGTTTTAATATTTTTTGGATTTATGTGTATGAAAGGTTTACTTGCATGTATGTATGGTGCACCGCATGCATGCATGCTGCCTATGGAGGTTAGAAGTGTCAGAAGTTAGAAGGGTGTCAGATCTCCTGGAGTTACAGATGTTACAGATGTCTGTGAGCCACCATGTGGTGCTGGGAACTGATCCTGGGTCCTCTGCAAGAGCAACAAGTGTTCTTAATCACTGAGCCATCTCTCCATCCTCATGATTTGTTTGTGTATAGCACTTTCTATTACTTGGTCCTCACAATGGCTCATCGTATTAAAGGAAACAGAAAATATCCTCACACTTGTAGTGAGAAGACTGGGAAGTTTTAATTCTATGAGATGGAGGGGAAAAGATAAAGTCTGCAAAACCGAAGGAATGCACCATGGGTGCTGGGAAGAGAAAGAAAACAGAGCCACAGTGGGAAAAGACCTTGGATGCAAAACTAGCAGCTTTTGACTTTGCTTCTACTCCAGGAGCTAGGGAAATTCTATACTGACAGTCCACAGTAAGAGATTGAGCCGGTGGCGGCGGCGGCGGCGGCGGCGGCGGCGCACGCCGGTAGGATTTGCTGAAGGAGGCTGAGGCAGGCAGATCTTTGTGAGTTCGAGGCCAGCGTGGTCTACAGAATGAGTTCCAGGAAAGGCGCAAAGTTACACAGAGAAACCCTGTCTCGAAAAACTAAAAAATAAATAAATAAATAAATAAATAAATAAATAAATAGATAGATAGATAGATAGATAGATAGATAGATAAATAGATAGATAAATAAATAGATAAATAAATAAATAAATAGATAAATAAATAAATGATATTAAAGGACCAGCTGGTGGTGGCAGAGCACACACCTTTAATCCCAGCTTGGGAGGTAGATATAGCCAGATCTCTATGAGTTCAAGGCCAGCATTGTTTACGGAGTGAGTTCTAAGATAGCCAGGCTATGCAGGGAAACCCTGTCTGGAAAATAAACAAACAAACAAAAACCCAGAACAATAAAAAGATATTATTGAAGGAGTCGGTGAGATTGCCAGTGATCGAAGGCACTTGCTGCCATGCTGACACCCTGAGACACAGAGCGAAAGCTGCAAACTGTTAGTCAGTACATTGCTTCGCAGTGTAGCAGATAAAAATCAGAATTCCCAGCTATCTTTTGTTTGTTTGTTTGTTTTGTTTTTTCAAGACAGGGTTTCTCTGTGTAGATTTAGAGCCTTTCCTAGAACTCACTCTGTAGCCCAAGCTGGCCTCGAACTCACAGAGATCCGCCTGGCTCTGCCTCCCAGAGTGCTGGGATTAAAGGCGTGCGCCGCCGCCGCCGCCGCCGCCGCCGCCGCCGCCGCCACCACCACCACCACTACTACCGCCCGGCTATCTTTTTTATTAAGTACTTCAAAAAATAGTAATAAACCAAAAAAAAAAAACCAAAAAACAAAAAACAAAAAATAGTAATAAATGTATAGTCAGCCTTAATATTCAGGACTTGTTATGGTTTTTAAAAATGTTGTATCTCCGTATGCTTGATAGGTAAGTTATTTTTTGAGATAGCATCTCACTATGTAGCCAGGGCTCTCCTGGAACTCAGTATGTAGACCAGGTTGGCCTCATACAGAGATCCATCTGCCTGACTCCCAAATGCTAGGATTAAAAGCACGCACCACCACACCTAAAGAGCCTTTTAAATAAAAACACTAAAAAGTGACGTTAGCCCAAGAGAGTAGATCTGGTTACTAAGAGCTCACTAGACTTGGAGCCTGGAGTTTCAGCTCAGTGGTAGAAACACCCGCACAGCACAAGCGAGGCTCGAGGTTTGGTCCTCAGCACACTCACCCTACAAAGTAAACTAAGATTGACAATACCATGAAGAAAAGGAAGGGAATAGAAAAAATAGTTCCTGCTTTTAAAAATATGACAGATCACAGGAGTGAAGAGTTAATAATGAGGTCCTCCAGACCCAAGATTTTCACTTAGAGAAAGGGACATTCAATCAAGAACAGACATAGAATTGAGGCACAGACTTGTATGAAAGGTGTTAGGAAGATTAAAGCCTAGGATGAGCTGAGCCTTGCCAAAAATAAGTTAAGGACAACTAAAAGCACCCTTTAATCTATATTTAGAACAAAAAGGGGGAACGTGTAGTCACATTGGGGGGGGTGCAGATGACATAATATGGATATATGACAAAGCAAAATTGCCCAACCTCTATTTTGGTTTTGTCACCCTTATCCAGGGGTATCTTTAAGCTAGGAAATATTGTCTACATACCAAAAAAAAAAAGGTGGACAAGAAACTGAGTATCAATTTGACCCATTTATTGTAGCAGGATTGGGTGGCCTAGAAAATGTTCCCCAACTGAATCTATACTTTTTATTTATTTTCGTGTGTGTGTGTGTGTGTGTGTGTGTGTGTGTGTGTGTGTGTGTGTAAATTCCTGTGTACCACTGGGGTGCAGCAGCCCATGGAGGCTAGAAGAGGACATCAGATACCCTAAACCTGGAGTTGCAGGTGGTTGTCAGCCACCACATGGGTGCTGGGAATTGAACCTGGGTCCTCTGCTAGAGCAGCAAGTGCTCTTAACTGCTGAGCCATCTCCCAACCCCAGACTGTTTCTTGAGTGAGGCTTCAAAGAGAAGCAAAGTCTGAAGGTAGAGAGAGGTGAGACTGGAGAAAGGCTGATGCTGGAGGAAGAAGGTGTGAAGGAGGGGAGAAACTTCTTTGTCCAAGAGAAAGAGAAAAACTAATGATCGCAACACAAAGGAAGCTGTGGACTGTGAAACCAGAGGCTGAGCAGAGACTGGAGAGTGGAGCAGGTATTGTGTGCCAGGACATGGTCCAGGGGCTAGGACCAGAACACAGTCTCCCTTTGATATCTGCATCCTTCACGTGAGTAGCGTGTGATCCTCTGGCTCTTCTAATGTGGGAAGTAAGACTTGACTTGCCTGCAGGAACATTGTTAGTGACAGGAACAGTGAGGCTTGGCTTTAGGTCTGCATGATGTCACTGCATCTCTCTCATCCATATGCTGAAGAAGGCATAGTCACGTGGAACTCAGGGGATAATAAACTCAAGAGTCTGGCGTGCTCTCTGGGTAAGAAGACAGAAGGACAAAGGAACTAAGGTTTGTGGGAAACAGATAAGTGTAGTGCTCCAACTCCAACTGGTGATAGTTTCACAGAACATGAATCCTAAATCCAAACTGTATGCATTAATGTGTGCAGTTTATTATATCTCAGTTGGACTTCAAGAAACTTGGGCTGGTGTGGGCAAGAGGGCACCGTGGCAAGGGGCCTGCTGTGCAAGCCGGAGAGCTCGGTTTGATCCCTGGGACTGGTGTTAACAAGGAAGGAGAGAATCAACTCCACAGAGCTGTCCTCCGACCTCCACAGGTGAACTGTCGTATTTGTGCAGCCATACACATTATAACAATAAGTAATGCAAATTCTAAAAACAGCAAAATAGGATGGCCCTGAATTCTCCACCACCCTCATCTTCCTGGGTGTTTGAGTGATGATTGTGCAGCAGCAACATGCCCAGATAAAAGAAACATTTGCTCTTGTTGTCTTTGAAACAGAATCATGTAGCTAGGGTAGGCTAGCCTCAAAATTGCTATGTAGAAAGGATGGCCTTGATAATCCTCCAGCCACCTCCCAAGTGACAAGATTATAGCCATGTGCCTGCCACCAGTCCAAGCTCTTTTGGTTTTGGTTTGGGTGTTTTGAAAGAGTAATGTATGTGTTCCAACAGCTGTCTAGGAAAGCTATTTTAAAAACAAAGTAGAGGGTCTGACAGGGTGGTACATGATTTTAATCTCAGTTCATGGAAAAAAAAATGGTAGGCAGATCTCTATGAGTCTGAGGTCAACCTGGTCTACATAGCAAGTCTAGGACAGCAGAAAGGCTACATAACGCAACTGTTTCAAAAAAAAAAAAACAAAAACACCAAAATAATAATAATAATACAACCAAGTGGTAGTGGTGCATGCCTTTAATCCCAGCACTCAGGAGGAAGAGGCAGCCTGGTCTACAGAGCAAGTTCCAGAACAATCAGAGCTACACAGAGACCCAGCCTCGAAAAACCAATAACTATGATGATAATGATGATGATGACAATGATATTATGACAAACGATAATCCAGAGCCAGGCAGAGTGGTGCGTGGCATTAATCTCAGCATTAGAGAGGCAGAGATGGGCAGATCTCTGAGTGTAAGGCCAACCTGGTCTACATATCAAGTTCCAAGCCAGCCAAAGCTGCACAATGAGACCTTGTCTCAATAAATAAATAAATAAAATGAATAAACGAAGTAACTGGGCCTAGTGGCAGAGCTTTTACTCTTATCTGCTGAAGAGGATAAGGCAAGTGGATAACCAAGTCAAGGCTGACTGCCGTACGGAGTGAGTTAAAGCCAACCTGAACAACTTAGTAAGGTCCTGTTTCAAAATAAAAAGAAGGAGTTGGGGATTTAGCTCAGTGGTAGAGCACTTGCCTAACAAGTGCAAGTCCCTGAGTTCGGTCCTCAGCTCCGGAAAAAATAAAAATAAAAATAAATAAATAAATAAATATAAAAACAAATAAATTAAATTAAATTAAAATAAAAAGAATGGACTGAGTATACAGCTCAGTGTGGTGAAGTACTTGCCTGGCATGCATCAGACCCTAGATTTATTTAATCTCTAGTACTTTAGGAAAAAGAAAACAGTTAGGTACTATGCCTAAATGATCTTTTTGTTTGTTTGTTTTTTCAAGACAGGGTTTCTCTGTGTAGTTTTGGTGCCTGTCCTGGATCTCATTTTGTAGACCAGGATGGCCTTCAACTCACAGAGATCTGCCTGGCTCTGCCTAAATGATCTCCCAAGTGCTGGGATTAAAGGTGTACGCCACCACTGCCCAGCTTGCCTAAATGATCTTGAATATGCCAAAATAATGATCTATTCACAGGGACTAGGACCCAGGGGCAGGTATCTGAAGTATAATTCAAGGAAGGGTGATTTATGCTGCGTTGCTTAAATACTTCCTGCTAAGATTCCTGAGCCTGGGAGAAAGGAAAAGACAAACTCCAGGACAGGGCTGAGTACAGGCGCAGAGAACAACCTGTCAGATCTGACAGGAAGATGGGCTGTGTGGAAGATGAAGGTCTCTGAAACAAAAACAGTGAGATTGGAAGGTCATTGAAAATGCTCTTTTATCCTTAGAATGAACTGGGTATATTGGGGCATCGGGGTGGGGAGTTCATGAATAAACACTTAGAAAAATGTGCAAGTAGGAAAATAAGTCGGCTTCAACTTCAGAACAATTGGAGCCATAAGAGGAAGGAAGCAATCATAGCATGATGTGAGCTTTGTGTGCATCTCACTTAAACGCTGGCTATTTATTTAAACCAAGAAGAAATAACTATTCTTTTTTTTTTTTTTTCTTTTTCTTCGAGACAGGGTTTCTCTGTGTATCTTTGTGCCTTTCCTGGAACTCCCAAGACAGGGTCTCACTATATAACTCTGCCTGTCCTGGAACTCATTATGTAGCCCAGGCTGGCCTCGAACTCACAAAGATCCGCCTGCCTCTGCCTCCCGAATGCTGGGATTAAAGGTGTGCACCACCACCGCCTGGCTGGAAATAACTTTTCTTTCTTTCTTTTTTTTTTTTTTGTTTTTTTTGTTTGTTTGTTTGTTTTGTTTTGTTTTGTTTTGTTTTGTTTTTTTCGAGACAGGGTTTCTCTATGTAGCTTTGCGCCTTTCCTGGAACTTGCTTTGTAACTAGGCTGGACTCGAAGTCACAGAGATCCGCCTGCCTCTGCCTCCCGAGTGCTGGGATTAAAGGCGTGCACCACCACCGACTGGCTAGAAATAACTATTCTTAAAAGATGGGCTGGGCAGTGGTGGCTGGATCTCTGTGAGTTCGAGGCCAGTCTGGAGATTGAGTGCCAGGACAGCCAGGACTACACAGAGAAACCCTATCTCAAAAAAAAATAAAATTTAAATTTAAAAAAAAATTAAAAAACTCAAAGAAAAAGCAAGCAAGGAGGCTCACCCAAGAAAGCTTGCCACAGAGCCGCACATCCTAAGTTTGATTCCAGAGACCCACATAGTGGAAAGAAAGAACCTGCTCCCAAAAGTTGTCCTCTGACCACACGGGTACTGTGACAGGCATATGTTCTCTCTCTCTCTCCTCTTTGTCTCTCTCAGCTGAATAAAAGAAACTTCAAAAAATTTTAAGAATGGACAGAAAACAAGGGGGCAAAAATGAAAGAGTTAACTCTTCAGTAGCAGGAAGTCAACAGCTAATGTCCAAATTATTAAGAAACAGCTATATATAAGTTTTTAATTAGAAATGTAGAGTCAACAGAAAAATGACTACACAAGGTCAAAATAGCTGCCAATAGTCCCAAAGTAGCGGAGGGATCTGGACAACATTCAGTGAAGGGGGATGGGTGGGGCATAGCATTACTAACACCATCTGCTTTTGTCGTTAGGAACTATTTCATGCCGCTTGATATCTGTGATGATTCATTTTAACTCTCAACTTGATCAGATTACAAAGTATATCATAGGGCAGATTGGGGAGATGACTCCATGGATTAAGGGCTTGCTATTCTAGATGAGGATCTGGATTCAGATCCCAGGAACCCACATAAAACTGGGCATGGTAACACAGACAGACAGACAGACAGACAGACAGACACACACACACACACACACACACACACACACACAAAATAAGTTTTTTGTTTTGTTTTGTTTTTAAAGTAGGCCCCTAGGGAATTAATAAAACATACCTACCACTGGGTATATTGGTGAGAGGGCCTCCAGAATTGTTTAGCCGAGGAGGGGAAACTGGCGCTCCCCCCCATCCCAGTAACTATCCCAGACTGACTAAAAGTGGAGAAGGAGAAAAGCCCATTAAGGACCAGCATCCCTTTTCTCTGCGCTGATGGTGGGAGCCACCTCCAGCACCAGGCCCTCCTCAAAGTGACAAACAGCGAGTAGAAACAAACCCTTACCCCTCAAGCTGCTTTTTTTAAAGCAGGATCGGTCCCATCAAGAAGAGTAGGAATGATATCCTTGTGTTCTCACGATAGAATTGCCATTTTAAAAAAGGCATTTAGGACTCGATGGTTTAATAAAGAAAAGAGGAATTCTCACCAAAATCATTGCGACTCTTCCTAAGAAGGCCCCAGAGGCCTCAGAGGAAGCCAGGAGCTAACCGGGCCCTTGATAACTGCCACAGAACGGAGGGCACGCGGGGGTGGGGGTGGGGTGGGGGTGCGGAGGTGGGGGGTGTGGAGGTGGGGGTTTTCGTGTCAGTGGCTCTGCCTGAGTAGGAGTCCCAGTACCAGGCCGAAGTTTGTTCTTGGGCTTGTCAGGACCCAGATGGCTGAGTCCACGCTCGGTTTCCATGGGTCTAGGGCAGGGCAGAGAATGGACACCGCCCAGTTCCCAGTCGAGCTGACACCGGTCTCCAAGCACAAAGAGCTCTTGGTTGAAGATGGTAGGTCCGCTCTCAAAGGAAACCCAGCAATTTGCTTAAGGGGTAGCGGGTCCTGAGGGAGGTTGGGGAGCGGCTCAACTGAGCTAAGATAACTCCTGCCTCCACAGGAGACAATGTGGGAGACCAAAAGCAATAGACAAGGATTGCCAACTCGCTAAGGTTCCGGTCTTCCAGAATAATGCCCTTACTCCGGAAGTGAGTTCCCCAACTGGGTGACCTGCTGCACACTGAATCAGACAGGAAGATGCCTGTAAATACCCCTTGCTTGCTTAAATACTCACAACGGGGGTACCTGTTTAGAGAACCATGATAGACTTCTGAAAAGAAACCAACCCAGCACATACCCCGCACACAGAAGCTTCTGTGAAGACACACAAAAAAGACACCAAAGGAAAATCAATGGTGTACAAAAGGACTAACATGAAAAACCAACACGAGAAAGAACCGCTCTTCCTGGGAAAACTTGATTCAGGCTGGATGTGATAGCTCGGGTCTTTAATCCCAGCACCGGGAAAGCAGAAGCAGGCTGATCTCTCTGAGTTCTAGGCCAGCCTGGTCTACACAGTGAACCAGCCAAGGCTGCAGAGCAAGAGACCCTGTCTGAAAACAACAACAAAAACGAATTAAAGAACATAAAAGTGTCTTTCCTTAATTCTAATGAATAGTCTCAGAGAAACTTAAGAAACTTCAAGCATCAGGAACAAGCTGGTACAGAAGAGGCTCTCCTCAGCTCCTCATAGCTCCTCCTCCAAGGCACTGGGAAACCTGAAGTGTGACAGCCAAACATTCTGTTTGCAAGCAGTGAACAGTTCACTGAAGAATGAGCAGAGCCAATGACCAAAAAGGTGGTGTAGGGGGTGGGGAATTGGCTCTAGAGGCCGAGTGCTTGCTTAGTGCCCAACGGCCCAGGTTCAGTCCCCAGCACGGTGTACCCCAATTGTAATGACTCATGCCTGTAATCTGTGGAAGCAAGGCAGGAGGATCAGACACTCAAGGTCAACCTTGGCTGTATAGATTGGACTAAATGAGTGTCCCATCTCAAAACAAACAAATAAGTAAGATGGTGATTTGGAAGAGAAAAACGTAAAATGTTTTCCAGGACATAATGCAAACGTGGAAGGAAAAGGGAAATACAAGTTGTGACGTGGGGTTGGGGTTGGGGGCTGGAGAGACACCTCAGTCAAGAGCTCTGGCTGTTCTTCCAGAGGTACCGGGTTCCATTCTCAGCAACCACAGGGAAGTTCACAACCATCGGTGGCTCCAGTTGCAAGCAATCCAGTGCCCTCTTCTGTCCTCCACAGGCACCAGGCACGCGTGGTGCACAGACATACATAATTTTTTTTCAAGTTGAGACATAGAAAGGCCAGCATCCATAATTAAGATTCTACAAGGAAAGCGATAGGAAAAGGAGTGAATCCAGTAACTCTGGAATATGGCCTGGGGAGACAGCTCAGAGGGCAGAAAGCCTGTTGCGCAGCATGAGGACCTGAGTTTGGATCCCCAACACCCAAGTTAAAAAGTGGAGTGTGGTATCGTGGGTTTCTAACACCGGTGATCTCACTGGCCATCCAGCCCAACCAAATCTGGGAGCTTGGATTCGCTGAGAGGCCCTGTCTCAAAAAGTAAGATGGAAAATAGCTGAGAAAGACATGTAGACCTCTGACGTACACACACACACACACACACACCACACACACACACACACACACACCCCTATGTGCATAAGAACATAAAGACATACATAAAGAAAAAAAATGTCCCTAGTAAAAAAGTCCAATAGTAAAAAGGTCCCTAAGCTTAAGCATGAAATGAGTAATTTTACCACGAATGGGTCTACTATATTCCAAGAACAATGTATTGACAACACAGCTAGATTAGAAACTCAAAACCATAAAGACAAAATGATAGAGGGCCAATGAGATGCCTTGGCAGGTTAAAGGTGCTTGCCGACAGGCCAAGCTGAGTCATCTGACCTCTTCTGACCTCCGGCACTGATACACATACACACCTGAAGGTACTCCACTCATACTCATAAAATAATCATAAATAAATCTTCAAAAAGAAAGAAAAACAATTTTCAGAAATTTTTAAGGACTCCAAGAAAGACAGCAGCATGAAGTTTCCAGAAGCAATGGCACAAAACCAGGCATGGTGGCGTATGCTTGTAATTCTACTGGGGAGGTAGACTATCAGGGGTCATCCTTGGCTACATAGAGAATTGAGGCCAGCCTGAACTACATGAGACCCTATCCAAAAAATGGAGGAGGAAGAAGAGAAATGGGACCTGAGAATGATCAAGAAATAAAGGCAGATAAAAAGGAAACGGGGACTTGCGTGTGGTGACTGTCATGGGAGCGTTGTGGAACTTGAGGCAGGAACATCTCAAGTTTGAGGCCAGCCTGGCTGAGGGGAGGGTGGGGCAGGATTATTACCACTACCATGTCCTGTCCTCAGGTTCTTTTCTGGGAGCTAGAGATCCAGCAGTTAACTCTCAGTAAAATAAACTCTGTGTGGGTCTGTGGAGCTCTGTGTGGGTCTATCCTTTAGCAGGATATATGGGGGGGGGGGGTATAGTAAATAATTTAAATGTGTGGGATATGCTATGCATATATAACATTGCCAATGAAACAGAAATCTAACACTGTGGTACCAAAATCCTCAGACTTCACCAGATCTGCCACTCTTGGCAGTGGACATTGACAAAATATAGTCACGGCTCACCACTGTGGCACACACGTATAATCTAGCACTGGAGAGAGAGAGCTGGGAAGATGGGGAGCTCCTGGTCATCGTGGCTAAAGGATGAATTCAAGGCCAGCCCGGGCTTCACTGTTACCAGTGGTGTGGTTGGAAGCATAGGAAGGGTGAGTTTTTCTTTTTTTCTTAATTTGTTAAGGATATATTTTAAAGTTACATTTCTTTCTCTCTTGCTCTCGCTCTCGCTCTCGCTCTTGCTCTGTGTGTATGTGGTGTGTGTGTGTGTGTGTGTGTGTGTGTGTGTGTGTGTGTGTGTATGTGTGTGTGTGTACACAAGTGCAGGTACCTTAGCATAGTGGAGACCAAGAGATAACTTATAGGAGTCACTTCTCTCCTTTTTCCCTCCACCACGTGGGTCTTGGGATCAAACTCAGATCCTCAGGCTTGTCAGCAGGAGCCCTCACCCACTGAGCAGTACCTCACCAGCCCAACAATATGTGTTTTATACTAGCCTGAACAGTCCTTGCCTATTTTGTTTTCTGCTTGTCTCATTTTGTAAATATTGTTGAAAATAATTTTGTCATACACAAAATAATTTTAATATCTACTTGGAGCTGGGGATGCAGCTCATTTAGTAGATGCTTGTGAGGGTATTCCTCTGTTTTGATTGCTATGTTAAGGCACATAATCATTTTTCTACTGTGCATATCCCTTCCCATAATGAATCTGATTTTAATCATACGCACACCCAATTATGCACAGGCATAAGATCCGGTTTTGCCTTACTGTGCATGCACCCAAAACCAGTTCAGGCTGGATTAGCCTTTCTATTTTTTGTACCAGGATACATTGAGACTACATCTGAATAGAAACTGTCTAAATTTATTAGGGGCATAGAAACTTGTCCCATTGTTCAGAGAGGGTGTGCTCATAGGCTGACGAAGTGCTGAGTGCATTGTTGAGAGCAGAGTGTGCACACAGCCCATGCAGCTAAAGGAGCGGGGCCACCAAGTGCATTATTAGAAGACTGAGGTGTGCATAAACCAATCCAGGCAGAGTCCCAGGTTGCTAAATATCCCCTGTGCTTGTCTTCCTCAACCTGAGACCCTGTCTCGCAATAAACAAATCTCATTTGAACGTTTTTTTTTTTTTTTTTTTTTTTTTTTTTT